GGGGGGTTACTAAAGCCTGTTAATAAATATTTGAACACTGCGTTGCAATACACGTCAGAATTTTAGGCTCCCTTAGGCATTGCAATCTCAACCCTTCTTCAATGATCTCCCTCTGGGCGTCACAACATGTCAGCTCGTGGGCACAGAATTAAATTTCACCATTGAACATTACGACTGACCCACTATTCTACACAAAAGAATGCTTTTTCAACCACAATACATGTAATACATTTGCAGCTGTTTTAATTTGTTTCTTCTCAATTTTCTTTTAAGTATTGTTAATACTGTATTATAATATATGCTTAAATTAGTGCTATATCCAGGAAAATCAGTAATAAATGAAACAGATACTAATTAGGTACTAACAAAAATAGTTGTAGGGCTATGACATTCGATGTTTTTGATAGTGTGTGAACGTCCATCAAATGGTTTTAAAGGGAAAGAACCGCGCCGCGACTTCTCTGTCGTAGCGTTTTAATTGCAAGTGACATCCCCTGAACACTTCCGTTTATATTCTCCGTACTGTTACTTGATCAATAATGAAGTTAGATTGTCAGCTGTTCCTTCCCACTGATGCCAAAAGATCTTGTCTGGAAAGGATTTTTCTTTGACTGTGAAGTATTGTCCTGAGTTCTACAGATACCTATGTAAACCAACCAACCAAAGCTTCAGCAGAAGTGAGAGGTTAATATAAGTCTTTTCAATGTAATTATGCTAGAGCCAGAGCTGAGTCTGGTTTCAGACGGAGTAAATGACGTCGAAGACGAAGACGGAAGACAAAGACAACACGAATAGTCATAACAATGATTACAGGGCAGTGCCATGACCTTCTTTCGTTGGCAATAGTATAGTATTGGCTCTTCGTCTAGAAAGATCTAATTTTGATAATTTAGGTGTGTAATCTTCTCATGCCAAGATGACCTCATGCCCCATGCGTAGGCCACCTCTACTAGGCCTAGCCTATTGTTTAAGTTCTAAAATTAGGTCTCTACAAGACTTAGAATAAAAAATTAAAACTCTTGTCTAGCTTTTCTAACTTTGTGTAGGCCTACTAGAGTGTCTAGAGTCAGTGCTTTTTCGGTAGTTCCCACCCCCCTTATTTGAGCCTGACCTACATCTAGATCTAGATCTTGATCTAGATCTAGATCTAGATCTATACGTTTGATTCGCGGTGAGCTAAGATATCAAACCTAACAACAGCAAAACATTAAATTGTGGTAAAAATCAGGGGGGCATGCCCCCCTGAAACCCCCCTCCCTGTTTTTATTAGGTCAGGGGGGCATGCCTCCCTGAAACCCCCCTACTCTTGGGGCCAAAACCCGTGAATAACAATTGCGGGGTGGGAACTACCGAAAAAGCGCCCTAGAGTCTAGATCTAGAATCTAGATCTAGATAATATACTTTAGACCTTCAGTCAGGCAAATGTTTGCTCATTCTCCCTTTTGTTGACCCTATATTCTAAATGTCTTAAAAGCTGGAAATCCAAAGGCACGGAAACTGATGAACGGCACTGGAACGAAATGTGTGGTATCGCAAGTGGTGACTTCAATGTTTGAATCCATAGAGACGGTACGGCACTGCAGGTTTGCGCCTTTTTTTTGTTTTGTTGCAATGCATTAGCAGCTTGGCGCCTACCTTGTCAAAACGTTCAGGTTTGTGAAACAAGAGCGGCCACAATGCAAAGTGGCATTTTCTTTGCGGCACCTCTGTGGCAGCGGCAGCGGCAGTTCTAATGGCTCCTGTATCCGATTAAAAAAGTGCCTGTGCGGTACCGCAGAACTGCCGGTGCGGTCCCGTTGCCGTTCGGTACTAACTAATGGATTCAGACAGTGACATTTCTGTTTGAGCGATATGTTCTGTCTGGGTGCCGTTCCTCTGCCGTTCAGTTTCTGTGCCTATGGATTTCCAACTTTAGCCATGGTATGCATTTCCCCAAATATGGCGATGACAGGGGAAGGTTATAATAATAACGAATAATATTGGAGAGAGGAGAAGGGATACAAGTGTCTATCAGCTGTGCAAAGCTACTCTAGGCAAACAGACTACGTAAAATATGTACACATGTATGCTCTCTCACTTCAGCTGATACATTGCTGATAATAGAATAGCTTTCATTTTTTGTCCTGTTTCTTTATTCTCAAAGTGTGCATGTATACAGTACAATGTTAATGTATTGTAAACAGAATTTTGATCACTAATCACATAGTTACTGCAAAAATGTATGTTTTATGCAGATGTATTTTTAGACATAGCTTTTGAAGAGTTAAAATATTTAATGGGACTTGAGACTTCTAAAAGAGAACATTACAGATGAGAATACCTTTTAAGCCGAGTATGTTATAACTTACTCGCCGTCTCTTAATACCCTATAAATTCTCTCTCTGTGTTTTTGACTTTCGGGAGTTGTATTCCTATCTTTGCTTAATTACTGCTTCTTATCATAAAGATGTAACTGGGGAGACATGAAGTGAAGATTCTTGGCTTCTTGTGTGAGCACTTCGGGCCAGCAGCAAGACTAGTAAATGCTGATATCAATATTTTAATATATATATATATATATATATATGACATGAATGCTTGCAGAAGAGATGCTTTATAAATGTGATATGAGGTTTATCAATGGGTGTCATAATTGCATTGCCTTTAATCTGTTGTTATTTTGCATTTTCAGGACAAAATAACATAATGTTGTCTGAGAGATGGACATCATCAACCCATAGACAGTCTTCTTGAAAATAAACAAACAACACTTCACTGAGACCCTCAGTTACATTTTGAGAGAAGCTCACCTGTGGTAAGTCCATTGAACTGTTAAGTGATATGTTGTGACTCATCATTGCTTTTGAAAGTTTTGTCTTGGGTGGAGGTGCATGCATTGTTTTTAAAAATTTCATTATTAGTGTGTTTTTACATGTTCATCGTAATCTTTGTTAAAAAATTGTCTTTCTTTCTCTCATTTCTAAGTGCTTGCAGGAGGTTTGAGGACCCCTCTAATGGGTCCTACTTCTTATCTTTCCCCTTGTTGTTTCTGACTGTCTTTTTTTTCTTTTTCACAGCATTATGTCTGTTATGTTAGTGTGCTTATGTGCCTCTTTTAACTTCGACTTGAGGGGTTGGAGGACCCGCTGGTAGGTCTTACTTTTTTCTTTCCCTCTGTGGTTTCTCTCTGTCTATCTTACTCTTTTCCCGCACAAAATTAACATTATAGTGTGGATGTGCATCTCTTTACTCAAACAAGAAAGAATGCTTAGACTTGTATGTAAAAATGCTGTCTTAGTCTTTTGCATCGTGCACTTCGCATGGCATGTAAAGAGGATTGAAGTCACTTCCTTTGGGTGTCACAGATGTTGGGATGGGCTGGGTTGGTAATTTAGGCATGGTTGTGTCATTCAGATTCTTTTTCTTCTTTCTTCTTTGACAAACAGTAAAATTAGTTGACTGGTTCAACTTATATTGTCTAAACGTTAAAGTACCAACTCTCACTCTTTGTGTTTTTCAGTCTTTTTGTCTCTCTATGCCCCCCCCTCCCCCACCCCCCCCCAAAATCACTGAATTGTCTAACTCATCACTCTCTCTCTGTGTTGCATGTTATGTATCACTTTAACAAACACTCTCTCTCTCGTTCTCTCTCAAAGGGGGGACATTAACCATGTTCTTATGCACAATAGAATTGTAATTGTAAATGGGCTAATTCATCAATATCAGGCTCATTACTGTGCCTGAGCTGCAACAGGGAACTGTTGCTTTTTCTCTCCTTATCCTAGCCCCAAGCCAAGCTACACGCACATGTAATGTGTCATGTGCAGGCCTGCCACATGGCCACGAGAGAGGGCTGCAGTGTGCTGTTAGTGGGTACTTGTTGCAATGGAAACTACCTATGAATAAAAACAGCTGGATTATTCCCACAAATGCTTACTTCCCTTGCATTTCTGATTTAAGAAGGATCTGATATAACAGGACTTTTTCTCTGGCCCCACCTTCCCTGTTATATCAGGTTTCTGCTGTATCGTCATTATCTCCACTCCTTCTTTTTTGTGTTTGTTACTCTCTTGCTACTCCTCTACTCAGCGGTACTTGTATGACTTTATTGTGTTGCAAGTGCCGTTAAACTCTTATTAAAACAATGTCGTCCTGATATTTTCTCTTTCTTTCTTTTTATGTTTGTTACTCTCTGGTAACACCTCTAATCTTCGACACTTATATGACCTTAATGTGTTGCAAGTGCCGTAAAATTTTTACAAAAACAACTAAATTATGTAGATTTAGCCAGTGTTGTGCTAGAAACTAAAAAAGGATACGGTAATGTTTTAAAAAAGCACAACCGTGTAATCGGGAGTCCCTCCCACCCCGCCCTCCCCGCCCCCCTCCCCTTTTCATGTTTGATCAGCGAGAGACTTGTTCCCGATATTGTGTCCGTCAACAGACAAATTAAATATGCACATTTCTAGTTTTTTCTCGACTTGTGTATCATTCACTGTAACAGGCGCGAGTGTTTGGCTCAGGCAAGGAGGTTACAGTGTTTTAAGCTCCTTGGGCTTAGGCTACCAGCCACGCCTTTTAAGCACCTTTACTTTTAACATATTTTTGGTCGAAACCAATCTCTCCTTTTCTTTTTCTGTCACCCTCTGTGTCCCCCCC